TTGCATTTTGATTTAACTTGGAACGGTAAGTTCGGTTATGATGACATTGGGAATTTCGTTTGCGTTGAACACTTGTTTGAAAGGAATTTTATTGAGCATTATTGTGTTTGCGTAGTTGCTGATCGGGTTGTGGTTTAGAGGAATAACACTTATTTTGAATGTGGTTTTCTCGTTTTTTCATGTTGTAATATGAATCTTTACTTCTTGTTGCACTTATGGTTTGAAAATCATGTTTATTCTTGAGTTTATTTGATTGAATATGAGTGGAGTGCAATGTTGATTTCTATATGAACATGGATAATAATTTTTTTTCTTGGTTCTTGATTGAGAAAAATATTTGTTTGTTCATGTTACATTCATGCAAGTTTTACTTGGTTTTCAATTCACTTGTGATTACTAACTTGTTTATGGTTTGTGCAAGCTTACAAGAAGTCTCAAGTTCCTTTCTTCTCACAATTCCATTCTACTTCCGATTTTTATTTTCATTTTAATACATTAGTTCTATATTATTTTAATTAATTGGTGCTTGTTAATTAAAATGGATTAGTTTACTAATCTATTTTTCCTAACTTCATCAATTGATTTAATCAATGTTTAACTAATTGATTCTCTCTTTATTTCATCCTCCATCTTTCTTTATCTTTTGACTTTAATCAATTAATTAGATATTGATTTAGTTACTTGATTTAGTTAACTAAAATGGAAAACTTTACTAATATATTTTTCTTAACTCAATTAATTAAGTTAATCAACTCTTAATTAATTCATCAAACATTCACTTCATATTTTCATGATACATTGTTCTAACTCCTTCAGACTTGATTCTTATTTCATCTGAGATGTTTCAATTATTTCTTTGTTGTCATGTTTGTTTGTTTGTCGGAGTTTTATCTGATGCATGGATTTTTATCCGATATCTTGATGATACTTTGAGCTTTATCTGACATCTTGAGCTTACCTGGTGCACTTTTCTGGCTTGTGATTTATTTTCACTTGATACGCTTTATTTGATGCTTGAGTATTATCTGACGCTTGAGTTTCTTTGATATTGCATGCTTATGATTTACTTTCACTAGAGGTTTTGATATTGCATGCTTGTATTGACTGTTGCTTTCAAACTTTGTTTGTACTTTCATGTTAATTTTAATGAAATGAGCATTGCATTGTTTTGGTCCAATTCATTTTCATTTACTGCTTTCAAAAAATATATATCTCCTGTTTACTTTCTTTATCAAGATTTTGTTTATGCAAAGATTGGAGTTAGGATGATGAAAACGAAATACCCATAATTACTGTTGGTATTGCTTTCGAATAAAACTGCCGATGATGTAAGACATTGTTTCAATTCCCAAACACTGGAGAAATAAGGAAGTTAATCCCTTTAAGCCTAGAAGTTGGAGTTCATTTCTGTACAAAAAACCCACAATCTTAACCTGAGGATGGGTAATTCTTTGTTAATTTGGTTGTGTATTCAATTAAAAGAGAAATCATTCAAGGCAGCTTTCAATAAAGGTCGCAATCAAGCTTTCCTTCGCACACATCAAATAAGTGTTAAAGATGTCCTTCAAATCAAAAGTGACAATGATGGTTCTCTGTAATCATTAAGCCAAGCAGTCACTATCTTTCCGAAAAAAGAATGAAAAAAAATCAAAAGAAAAGCCTGCTAAGTCAAAACCTATGAAGGAGACTTAGGCAAAACTGGAACATTCTGCTGACTATAATCTCAAATGAAGCAGTTCAGGCAAAAGTTAGGGATAACAAATTCAAAAGAAAGAGGCCTTCACATCCTCAAAATTTCCCACCAGAATTGACAAAAGTCCTCAACAAAAACAACAAAATGTTGTAAGAAGTGACTGCCTTCTCAAGAATCTCTTGGTTTCCGAGCCATCATCATTTCTATCATCAATGTTGTAATTCCAAAATCTCTTAGAACCTGAATGCAAAGTCTGAGTTAACTGGACGTAGGACTGGAGAACATCATGAAAAATGAGTTGGGTACAAATAAACTTTGAGCCTTTATCCTTTGTTTCTTAAACAGTGAGCCAGACCACGTTACAACCCTCAAAAAACCTAATTGAAGCCAGGTTTCTTTTGAAAGTATACTACAACAAGATTGCATAAACTGACTCCTAAGATTTTTGCAAATCATTTGCCTTGGTATCATACCTTTGCTTTCTCTTTCACTTTAAATGTCTAAATCATTGTGTTTTGACCAGTGATTCATTTTCTATACATCAATAACATCATTCCAAAAATGATTTTGATTTCAAAACTTTTTGCATGAATTTGAATTAAAATTACTATGTCTGAATGAATAATTTTGCTTGCAAACAAGCTTTCCTCGTCAAGGAAGTTCAAACAGTTTAGAAACTTGGTCAGTGATCCTATCAGGGACAAGTATCTTCCAGATCCTATTGTGAATCAGTTTAAGGCTTGTTTCTCAATGCAAATTATTCTTAGAATCGGTTAGCCAAAAGATCTCTTTTAAGACTCTACTAGGGCATGTCTTCCCTCAGTCATTTCTAGAACTGAAGACATGGTCAGTTTATGCTCAACAATCAATTAATCTGGGCCAATCCTCAAGCATCTCTTCTATCCTTTCACAAAGGATCACCAGTTCAATACAATTTACAAGTGTGATAGAAGTGTTTCTCAAGACATTTCCTTTCCAAGCAGAGTTGGCAGATATTACCCGTGTTTAGGAATCAAAGTTCATATCTTACCTCCACAAAATAGTCTAGCTCCGTTGTCATAAATGTCTGCATTACATGCATAAATCATTCACATATCACACATAGAAAAAAATTCATGTATCACGCATAGCTTGAAGATTATTTCATGCTCATTTGTATCTTCTAGAGGTCTTATACAGTCGACATGTCACCATGAGATCAAAGCCCAATTTACTTGGCACCTACCAAAGTAGATGTCAGTCCGCCTGTTTCTCTTCCCGTCTAATATTATTCTCAAATATGTTACTTCTCACTTTTATCCAAAGACAACAATTGGGTGTCACATTTCCCAATAGATTATTTCTCACCTCATTCAATGGTATTCTTGGATGTCGTGACGCTTTCCCTCATCAGTACATTAGTTGATGTAGATCATTTTGCTATCTCATTAGTACATTAGCTGATGAAGATCCGTTTTATTCTTCCTCGTTAGTACATTAGCTAATGTAGGTCTCTGTTGTCCCTCATTATTACATTAGCTGATGCATGTCTCTTTTGTTATCCCTCATCAGTACATTAGCTGATGTATGTCTCTTTTGCTGCCCCTCGTTAGTACATTAGCTGATGTAGATCTCTTTTGATGTTCCTCATCAATACATTAGCTGATGTAGGTCAATTTTTCCTTCCTTCATTAGTACATTAGTTTATGTAGGTCATCTTGTTTTTCTCATCAGTACATTAGCTGATGTAGGTCGTTTTGCCTAACCCTCATTAGTATATTAGCTAATGTAGGTCTCTTTTGTTGTCCCTCATCAGTACATTAGCTAATGTAGGTCTCTTTTACCTCTTTCGTCAATACATCAGCTGATGCTCGTCATTATTTTACATCCCTCTTCAGTACACTAACTGATGTAGGTATGTCTTTGTTTTCCTTCATTAGTACACTAGCTGATGTCGTGGCTCTTCTCCGTCCAGTATTTTTTCTGGACGACTCTGATGTATCTTCAAATTTGGTCTCATTCTGCATCTAATGTTTTCCTAGATGTTTCTGATGTATTTTCCAGAGAGTCTTTCCCTTAATCTAAAGCATGTTATTTAGATGTTGTGGTCTTCTTTCATAGTTTTGTTGTCCAAAGCCAGTAATTGGATGTCTTACCCCTCAATATACTATTTTCACCCTCTAATGCCAATATTGAATGTCAAATCTTTGTGTTTCCACAGAGTGTATTTCCACGTCTTTTCATTCAATGTATCGTAAATCCATTATTTCAAGTTTCTCCAAATAGTGTATTTATCCTTTGCATTTATATCATATCATATACAAAAAATATATATAACAAAAAAGAGTCTTTCATACCATACATCATTAAAAAAAATCCAAAAAAGAGTCATGCATTCATCGCATTTTCATGGCAAAATTTTTGTTTCTTTAATATTTAATTATCTCCCACTACGATTATATATAGCCTAATTCCTCTTGTATATCGTCGTAACGCCCTTAATACTAGATTTTGAAAAAGACTTTTCATGTCATTCTCATTTAGGTCCGATTCAGATCCCTTCGTTGTTTTCTTTTCCTCCCAGGCCTTTTCCTCGAAATGATAAAGAAGATGGTCCACTCGAATTGTATTATTTAAGTGCTTTTTGCTTGTCAAAGATCCTACTTCTACAATTGGTAGTTCACTAGGTTATTCAAATAAGTTGTGTTTTATGTGGTTTTCCATGTTACAACTTCCATACCAATTCGGTCGATCCAGAATGGATCGGTTAAACATTCTATTAGAGAGCCTGGTCTTTACTCTTCTGTGTGGTATTCATTTTCGTTTGGCTCTTGGAATCACATCCAACAGTGGTTGGTGATCATCTTTTTATCATCTAATTGAAGATATTTAAATAAGGGTAGCTGTTGCACTCCAAATTTTACCCCGAATTTTTTCTCATTCGCATTCATATATCATTTTAGTTTTCACGCATACACATATTTTTTACATTCGTTCTAATTTAATTTTTTATCCGTGGATTTTTTCTTTCTTTAATTTTTTATCCGTGGATATCATCTTCTTTTTTTTTTAAAAAATTATTTTATTTCATCATTTAATTTAAATTTTTAGTTTTTTATCTTTAGAAAAATATATAAAAAGGAAAAATTTTAGTGTTTCATTTAATTTTAAATTTAGATTTTTTGTTTAGTTTAATATTTTATAAAAGTTGTATATAAAACAAATTTTTGTTTATTTTTCTTTTAGTTATTAATATCTATTCAAGTAGGGTCTTATTGGTCTTTCTTTTATACCTAATGGGGATAAGTTTATGTGTGGATGATATAAGAGCAAAGAGGCAGATCCAAGATGGGGGACGAGATACGAAAACTTATCAAGAAAAGAAAAAAAAAAAAGGAGAAAACGCTTCCTCGTTCATCTTTCCAGCCACCACATCCATTCAACACAACCATCTACAATTCCCTTTCCTCTCCGTTCGATCTCCACTCATCATCATGTTCCTCTCCATCACCGATTCACCTTTAATATCATCACCGATTCACCTTTAATATCATCACCATCTCCGCTCAGACGCTCCCTTCCTCAACTCGCCGTTTCAATTTCAGTCAATTTCACACGCATCACCATCTTCTCATCACCGTCCAACTCACCACAGAAACTCCAATCTCAAAACTCCCTCCGTGAAACCTCAGTCTGTCGTTTAATCTTACACTCGCAATTGCTCACGCCATATAACCATTTCTCCTCCGTTCAACTATCGTCAACAAGACCGTATCTCCTTCTCACACTCCAGCAATACCAGACAACAACCTTATCCGCAAGCACAACAACCACCTGCTCGTGACTGTCGCAAACTGATCTCCTTCAGACAACTTTCGTGGTCTATACACATCTGATTCCGCGATATCAGCACCATCGTCATCAGCTTCGCTTCAAGCATCCTCTGCCGACGAGTTCTCCCGCCCTCTGTTCGTTCCTCACGGCTCGACGTTGCAAACTGTTCATTAAATCTCGACATACTTTCATCAATGGATTGATTCGTTTATATTGTGATATTGTTCTCTAAAAACAACGCTGTGAAGTAATTTCTGGTTGAAACAACAAAATGTTGCTTGCGGCACCATGTTAATCTTGCTAATGTTTGATTATGCTTCTTGATTTTTAAGGGTGATTGAGTTTATTGTTATGTCATGTTTGGTTTGATTCAACTTGAAGGATTTGTTAAATGACATTGTTTGTTCAATCAAATTTGATTTCGAAAGATTAGTTTGATTGTGGCATCATTTTGTTTCTTGTTCGTATTTAATCGTTTGAGATGAATATTTGTGCATCCTTATGTATGTAATGGCCGCTCGGAATTCGGTTTTAGTAGGTTAAATTTCGGGTTTAAATTCAATGTTATATCATGTTTGTTATGCTGATTTGTGATAATTGTTGATGTTGGTATTTGATCTGTCTTGTTGATGTTCAAAACCAAATGAGTCATTGATGTCGGTTTTTGTCATTTGTTTCAATTTTGAATGATAAACTTGTGATGAAAGTCTTGTATTGGCCTTAGTGTGGATTGAGTTCAAAGTGTTCCGCCTTGTTGTTTGAGATAATTTGAAGGAGTTTTTGCAACATTTTGTTTGCATTTTGATTGAACTTGAAATGGTAAGTTCAGTTATGGTGACATTGTGAATTCCGTTTGCGTTGAACACTTGTTTGAAAGGAATTTTATTGAGAATTATTGTATTTGCATAGTTGCTTCCCGGACTGTGGTTTAGAGGAATAACGCTTATTTTGAATGTGGTTTTCTCAGTTTTTCATATTGCAATATGAATCATTACATCTTGTTGCACTTATGGTTTGAAAATCATGTTTATTCTTGAGTTCATTTGATTGAATATGATTGGAGTGCAATGCTAATAACTTGTTTTCTTGGTTCTTGATTAAGAAATATTCATATGTTCATGTTACATTCATGAAAGTTTCATTTGGTTTTCAATTCAATTGTGATTACTAACTTGTTTATGGTTTGTGCAAGCTTACAAGAAGTCTCAAGTTCCTTTCTCTTCACAATTCCATTCTACTTTCGATTTCTATTTTCATTTTAATCCATTAGTTTTATATTGTTTTAATTAATTGGTGTTTGTTAATTAAAATGAATTAGTTTACTAATCTATTTTTCTTAACTTCATTAATTGATTTAATTAATGTTTAACTAATTGATTCTCTCTTTATTTCATCCTCTATCTTTCTTTATCTTTTCACTTTGATTAATTAATTAGATGTTGAGTTAGTTACTTGATTTAGTTAACTAAAATAGATTAATTTACTAATCTATTTTTCTTAACTCAATTAATTAAGTTAATCAACTCTTAATTAATTAATCAAACATTCACTTCATATTTTCATGGTACATTGTTCTAACTCCTTTGGACTTGATTCTTATTTCTTCTGAGATGTTCAGATTATTTCTTTGCTGTCATGTTTGTCTGTTTGTTGGAATTTTATCTTATGCAAGGATTTTTATCCAATATCTTGATGATACTTTGAGCTTTATCTGACATCTTGAGCTTATTTGGTGCACTTTCCTGGCTTGTGATTTATTTTCACTTGATGCGTTTTATCTGATGCTTGAGTATTATCTGATGCTTGGGTTTCTTTGATATTGCATGCTTGTGATTTGTTTTCATCTGAGATCTGGTATACTCTTGGCTTATTTATCGGCTCGTGGCTTTAATCCAAAAGGATGGGAACAATGTATTGATTTCTTTATATCAAGTATGAGCTTCTGTTTGGTCAAACCTTCCTTACCCTATTCTTGTACATAGGATACTCTCTTCATCTCTTATCACATTCTTCAATTTTCAAAACCTTCTCATCTTTTTCAAAACCTTCTCTGTTTTATAAACTTGACCGCTTTCATAAAGGCTTAAGGTGGTTTTTCAAAAAGACTAAAAAAACATTTAACCTCAATCAAACATTTTTGTGTGCTCGAGCACCTTTTCCCTTTAAAACCTTTTCCACTTGAGTGCCAGAGCCATTTCTAAACCCTCCTCATGTTGACAGACGGTCCATCTTTCTCAAACCTTGTGGGCGATTAGTTGAGTTTTCTCTCCTAAAAATAATGACTTGTCTCTTCGTTTAAAAAAACCAACACAGTTTTGTTCTTTTTAACAAGAACTATGATGCCCTGATCCCTTATTGCATGAAGGGGGTACGTAGGTGTTTACCCTCGAATTTTGGTAAACAACCGCTGATCTTCCAAATCCTTTTACGGATCCAGTTACTTGCGAGATCGATCAGATTGATCTCAGGACACGAGTGTCTTTATTAATCTTTTAACTTGATTGTTGTATTTAACATGTTTTGTATATGAAGACAAATGACTTTAAATGTCGAATTAAAATGCATATAAAGTGAAAGTAAAATTACTTCTAAACTTGAAATGGTAAAAGACTTAAGTAAATGTTACTGGAAATTCTACAGAAAGTAAATGCATTTATATTAAATGAGTGTATCATACGTACATCCTCAATAAACTTGTTTCTCTTTAACACTTGGTACTTTGAGTAATTTCTGAGTAATTTGTACAAAGATGTTCACCCCCTAAGTCGAAATACTAAAACCACTATTTATACTACTTCGACCCTAACGGTTTTCTACACGAACTAATGCCACGTTTCTGTTTGCATGTCTTCGACGAACTCAAAGCCTTCCACGCGTCTTTTCAGATAAGATCAAAATATTTGAATTCGAATCTCCTTCTTATCTTGAGCGCCAATCTCTAAAGATGGTCGAACGAAAAAATGTTTGAAACCTCAGCCACATTTCGAATAACAATCTTTATTCAATAATTCGAATTGGTAAACCTTTCCAACGAATTTTACTCAATTCGAATCTCAACCTTTATGGCTTCACATAAATAAAGTAGTATTTTGAAGTATATTCAAGTCTAACTTTAAAATCCTTAGTCGAAATTTCCAGCTAACAAATTGCCCCCAAGAAATATTCATTTCGAAACAAGAAATGTATATTTTTTGCAACCTCTTCAAAATTTCGACTCCCTGAACATGCTGCCAATCGTTTTGTCTGACGCTGAAATGTACAATCTCATGCACTTGTTTCTTCTTGGAGGCGAAAGAATTGGTGGATGCACCAAGTATTGCTCGATCCTTTCGAATGCCTCCTGATGTTCTTCTTTCCAGACAAAGGCCTCTTGTTTTAATCGTAAGAGTGGGGAAAAGGCTTGAGTTCGACCACTTAGGTTGGATATAAACCTTCGTAAGAAATTTATCTTTCCTAAGAGTGATTGCAACTCTTTCTTTGTCGATGTCGCCTTTGCCTCCAAAATTGCCTTTGTCTTGTTTTGGTTGATTTCTATACCCTTCTTATGGACCATAAAGCCTAGAAAATCACCCGCCTGCACAAAAAATGCACACTTAACGGGATTCATTTTTAGGCCATGTTTTCTCATTCTTTCGAATGATTGTCGAAGTTGATACAAATGGATTGGCCCAGATATAGATTTCACCACTATGTCATCAATATAAACCTGCATAAAGGTCTCAATGAAATCATGGAATATTGAATTCATTGCCCTTTGATAGGTTTCCACAACATTTTTTAGGCCAAAGGGCATAACCACCCACTCATAGGTGCCTATTGCACCAGGGCATCGAAACGCTGTCTTTGGCACATCTTCTTCTGCAATAAAAACCTGGTTGTATCCTGAATAACCATCTAACATACTAAGGTATTCATAACCAGCAGCAGAATCTACTAACATTTCAGCCACAAGCATTGGGTATTCATCTTTAGGAGTAGCTGAATTTAAATCACGAAAATATATGCATACTCTAAGAGAACCGTTTTCTTAATTACAGGAACTATATTAGCTATCCATTCGACATACCTTGTGGTCCTGATGAACTTGCAACGTAGAAGTCTTTCGACTTCCTCTTTAATTTTGGATAGGATTTCTAGCGTAAATCTCCTTGGGCTCTGCTTGATGGGCTTCTTGCCATCCTTTATTGGCAGCTTCAATTCGACCAGTTCCTTTCTTAAACCAGGCATTTCTTCATAGTCCCAGGCGAAACAATCTTTATACTCCTTGAGAAATTGGATCACTTCTGCTCTTACTTCTGGGTTCAATTTTACGCTGACGTACGTTGGCCTCCTTTGAGTTCCATCTCCTAGATCCACTTCCTCGAGAGGGTCTTGCGCCAGCATCTTCGTGTTGGATGCCGCTGGATCCTTCTCGAATCCCAAAGGCTCATCGTCATATATGGCATCAAGCCTTTGGTATTTGTCTTCGACAAGTGTGTCTTCGTCAGGTGGTTCAGGTTTGAAGAAAATTCCTGGCCCCTTGTTGTGAATTCCTTCAGCCTTGGCTTCAACAGCCATAATTTTAACTTTGGCTTCCAAAGCTGTTTTCATCCCATTTTCAGCCAAATAGGCCGAAATCTTCTTGAAGTAAGAAGACTCAGACATGGACATGGTCTTCGTCTTCCCAGTCAGTTGGCCGTATTCTTGGGACTCCAAGCACGTCTTCGTCAGGTCCCATGTTTTCCTTGTCCCAATAAAATCCATGTGTTGGGTGAAGGGTAAGGAAATACATTGCATTATTACTTGGTGCTGATGCACCTTCCGCTGCAGTGCATGGCCCAATGTTGGCCAAATTCTTGTCAAAATTCCTTCTATCGACATGATTAACCTCAGCCATAAAATAGCTTTGGTCTGCTTCAATGTTTTCGACAATCCCATCATCTCTCCACATTGTCACCCTTTGGTGTATTGAGGATGGAACTGCCCCGATTCCATGTATCCATTCATGGTCTAGAAGAAGATTGTAATTCG